CCACTTCTCCCCACATCTCTGTGGTGCGTCTAAGATTCCAGTTTAGAGTGCATGCTACGTGTCGGTTACTTAGCCCTATGTGATGTTCGGCATTTATTGGGGTCTCAGAAGATCCGAGCCTTTCCAAAGTATCGATCCGCTCGTTTCCTGCGAACACCATGTGCGCCGGAATCCACACCAGGTTTACTTGCTTCTGTTCTACCACTTTCCTAAGGACATCCCAGCAATTCTGAATCAGTTTACTGTCCATCTTAACACTTGAGAGTGCCTTGAGGGCAGCGTGGCGGTCGTAATAGATCTCGTTCACTCCCTCTGGTCCTTTTGTAAGTTCCGTATCTGTGGAAACCTCGAGGTCCAACTCGTCCAACTTTCCAGCAAAAAGAACGCGCTATTCTCTTTCCAAGTTCTTATCTGAGTTTACAGGTGTTGCATAAACCCGTGACTTTAAATGATCCCAGACGAAAAAATCCAGAGGATTCTAATCAGGTAACCTATACGGAGACCTTGCGTCTTGTTGAAAGCTGCCTTGATTCTAATTAAAGGTTCATCAGCAATGTCCTCTAATATATCTTCCTCTACATGAGGCGGTCTGCCTCTCGTTGGACCTTTTTCACCACCACGTCGTGGTAAAAACTTCTAAACCTTCATTGCTTTCATTGCATACGATCAACGCTTTCCAAAGTCACAATGTGGATTAACGGAAGATACATCATACCACCGATTAGAAGTCTGCCAGCACTGGTCGTCTACTAGGAGGCGCCTCCTTGGTCCCTCCACACTCTCCCGCATCGGATTGTCTTCCTTGGAGCGGAGACTGATTCTTGGCTTTGTCAGAGAGATGGTATGTCTGGGTGGCTAATATCAGGAGTAATAAGGTGGGGATGGATGGAGGGCTTTTAAGGCCTACAATACTACTACTACTACTGGACAGAGAATAACATGGCACTGTCGTAAAATTCGCCAAACTCGTTGAATATCATCTGAAAATTTACGTCAAAGCAGAAAATGTATCGAAGTGCGGGGGGTCTTATTGAACTTTATCGAAGTAAAAGTCTTAAAAATCTTGTAGTCTCCTTGGATCTGTAAATCCTAATAGTTAGTTAAAGTAATCGCAAGTTAATCGTAAAGTTAATTCGTGCAGATTATTTAGAGTATTAAAAACGGATTAGACAAAAATTAAATTATGTTTGAAACCGATCAATTGTTCTAAATAAATGTGGAGTGTCGTTTTTGCCTAAAATTATCCGGTCTCCAAAAATGTGAATTGTGTTTGCAAATAATGACACACGTTAAAGTTTAATTTGATTATATGCTAGCGCCAGGCCGTTCCTGGTTTCTCTTGGTAGCTTGAAGATCGGGTTGTAAACCAAATTATGACACTTTCTTAACGTACTTTTCCTCAAAAAGTCATTTTAAAATCCAAAATCGTATAAAAATGAAAATTCGAAACTTATTTTGAAGATACCATTAAGGCCCGATATCTCCGTTAAGGGGACGTTTAGACAAAAAAGAATATATAAGCAAATAATTTTTATTTTGACACTGTATGCTCTAGAGACTCTGTCACGTACTTAAGGGACACCCTGTATACATTTTGTAAGAAAGGTCTCTGATATTCATTCGAATTACCTGAAAGTTTTGTATTGTTTGTTTGAGACACTATAAAATAAGAATGGCATGTGCTTGTTGTCCAGTACCCATTCGTGTGAAATCAGTTCTACATACTTAATGATGAAAATAGCATCTATGTAGAGCATCGGAAGTCCCAGATGGAATAAATCATTTAAGCATGTTAGTGTCTGAACATGTAATTTCGAAGTTGTTTAATTATTTCAAGCATGTGTTACAAAGGTGGTGTAGATAGACTTTGAAAAAAAAAATGTTGGATTTGAGTTTAATTTTCTCATATCAAACACGAAAGTGTCGTTAGGAGTTACGTTTGATAACACCCAGCTACTGTCGTTACTAACAGCAGCACCTGCCGTTAAAGATTTAGTGGAGGCAATGAATAACAAACGTACCTAATAGATACATCCTGATTTGACGATAAAAATTGATCAATGAGCGGCAAGCAGGTAATTATCCAGTTTTCGAAGCGATTTGCATCCGCCATCAAGCAATAAAAATAGGTCTTTAGTAATTATTTTCAAACATGCAGCAGAATCGATTAGATAATGACATTGATCGCCGTATCAACTGCAAGTGCCTTTGATTTACGTGTAAATTTTCAGGTTGCCGTTTGCAGACAGAAAATCTAACTAAAACCTGATTACCGACATTTTTATAACATTCTGAGGAACTTGCGAAAAATGGGAAATATGCCCTTTAATGTCAGTCTCAAGTTTACGTACCTTTTTCTAGTTACTCTAAAGTTTACCTATGAAGACTCCTACTTCTGTAATTACTATTCGCTGAGTTCAAAGTTCAACTTATTAGCAGTTTGTCGCAACGTCTCGAAATATTAAACTAGCAGCCGCATCGCTCACCTTTAACAAGCCGCGTAGACTAAGCACACATAAATTTGGTACTTATAATTCCTTCTTCCCTAGTAGGATTATTTCCAGTGAAGACAAACATAGCATATATTAGTAAGAGTCATTATTTAAATTAGAAGATTGGTCAAAACATTTTATTAACACTTGGGATTACTGCATTCTTCGAAATACTGTCTTAAGCTGCAATTCAATTTAACAGAAAAATGTTGCCATCAAGCTGAGACATGGACATGGACAATGGGAGAATCTCTGGATTTTATTGAAATTTTATTAATTCTCTAAAGGGAAAAATAGTGCAAAGGGAAGCAAAAGCAACCGAGAATCTTTAGAACGCGAAAATTTTCTTTAATCTCGAGTGAAGTGCCTCAAGTAAGCAAGATAAGAAAACTTGCCGAAGTGGTGAATATATAAGGGTTGGAAAGTATAGACTGTACCTAATGTTTTGTAAGCGAGAATGTGGGCTTGAAATAGGCGATGTTCGAGCGGTGCAAGCTCTAAAGAAAACTAGTACTCCAGAAATAAACTTGAAGAAAAATTCCGAACTTCCAAAAATGTATTTCAAACTTAGTAAAATTTACACTGCACTTAAGTTTCCTCAAAAATTAGAATTCAGTAAATTTGGTCATTTGGCTTGGTTAGCTGTTGACGATATGATTTTGTACCACAACATTTTTTTTAAATTCAGTCCGTAGGAAATTTGAGCGAAGCAGTAGAAGCGTGAGGGTATTAGCTAACTGAAGTTAATTTATTGAAAACTTCGAGATTCTAAAATATGCATTTGAACTTTGCTTGAGTCAACAGCAAATACGACGGAAGAAATTTTAAAGTAAACCGAACAGTTACCCTAGTTATGCACGTGAATATTTTATTTATTGTCATTTCACATTGAATAATTACAGCTATTCGAGAAACAATATTTTCTTGTCAATCATAAGATTAAGAATTTGATTTACAAATTATTTATTTTGAAGGAAAATTTAAACTTTGGACATCCCAGAACCTGAGTTGAAACAGATCAAGCTGAAATGTTCTCTTGCTTAAATTTGTATTAAACCAACAACTCGTTGTAGGTATTAATTAAATCTGACTATCATGATATCAATTACAGTTTTGCTTAAACTTCAAACTTTTTGACATATTTTGTACGCTTATCGAGAACAGCATTATGATGAAGATTTTCAGAAGTTTTAATAAGAAGGGTAGCTGAAACAGTAGCCTGTGTAAGAAATATTTTGAAACTAATTTAATAAAAACTTTGACAACATTTAGGCTTTACAATTACTACATGGCTGCAGTGACTAAATTCAGTTTCCAAGCTGTACTACTGAGCTGAATACTCCAATTTCCTAGTTTAGCTAAAAGGAAACTTAAGACGCGGTAAACATGTCAAAGAAGCATATTTTCCATTTGTAAAGACTATGTGTGCTTTCGTTAACAAGGTAAATAGATCTGGTGGAAGCATAGTAATTTCATAGAGCTTCAATATTTATATTTGTAAAATTATATCGTCAAATAAAGCCTCAACCGTTTTATTTGCTTTTAGCGGGATGTATCGTTTAACATTTAATTTAATCATACTTTTTCCCTGTGCCAGCATTATTGTGCGCTTCAAAAATGATGCCGATATTTGCAATTTTTAATACGACTGGTTAAAAAAGCTTCTGATTAAATTCTGCGATTAATAAAACTCAAAGATTGTATGTACAGAAAAATCAGTAAAATCTATCCCAATCAAAAAAAGTAATTTACCTGAACGCCTTTATTAATAGTAAATTCAACCATCTCATACACATGCAACCAAAGCAGTACCTAATTTGGCAAGTTTCCGTAATTTTTCCTAGTTCATCTTGAATCTTCGATTTTCGCTTCAGGATACTTGAATCAGGGCTCCCTGTTGAGTCTATTATTCTGTAGAACGTTAAACGTTTGCTAATATTGAACAATCGGTTTTATTTTTCCCTTAAAATGTGTTTATTGATCCCGGTCAGAACCGGATTCAAGTTTTTCAAATGTAATCTGTTAATGGCATTGAGATTATTCACCGTAAATGATAAATAGGCCGTGTGTCAATTCATTTAAACTCTTAAGATTGAAGCAAATAACGGAAGTGTTGAAACGAGGGAAATCAAGGAGAAAATCTATTTTTCCGCAATTTGTGTTCGCGATTTCTGATTTCTCAGTTGATTGGGGCTATAAAAGTTTCCATTTTAGATTTAGGCGATGTTCGCAATTTGATTACACTTTCAATATTCTTGTAATTTTCGAAAAAAAAATCATAAATCATTTTCGTAGAAAAAGGGAATGAGCGTTTATTACCGAGAGTTGTAAGTAGGTGCTGCTGCAAAGAAAATTAAATCCCGCTATAAGTTATAAATGTTGATATTTTTATATGTATGAGATTTGCAACCGTCGTTGGAACGTTGTCGTTTGAGCTATAAACTGTGAAATATGAGATATGAGAGTCCCTAGCAATTTGTTTCTAATTATTTTCTTTGTTATTTTCAGATATAACAATAAACAAATCAACTATTGATCAAGCACCAGGTAAGAGCATTTCAAGCTTAGTAAATACAAATGTATTTTTTCCATTTCAAATTCAATGCGCTATTGATTTAACGGTGGCTAATGTAATGACTAACCTAACAGTTCACGGGCACGGCAAATGGTCGTTAATTTGAAAATAGATTTTTTGTAGATATTCATCAAAGCCATGGATTTCTGTAAAACGAATAAGTGCGAATAACGTGTTAACTAAATGTATCCAGCAGGTTCTATGGAAGCCTGAAAATTTGTGTTTGTATATGGCATTGATTCGATGTGGTTATTTGAAAAGCGGAAATTTTCAGCTGAAATGTTGCATATTTTGGTTTGAATTGCAGTGGTTCTAATGCTGCGTTAAATTTCAACAAACTTGACTGCAAGGAACAGTTAAATATTAGAAATACTTTGAAGCTTGAAATTAATTCTACAATTTATTTATTATAGTTTCAGATATATCGACACATTTTAGCAAATAATTGGAAGTAATTTGGAACGTTATTGTGTTCAGTTAAGCTTTTGTACATATCCCCATGATGCATGCGTTAATTTGCTCCTTCAAACCACTAAATATCTCTGCATAAATCCACAATTTGTTCGGGCTGCCGATTAAAATTTTAATATATCTACGGAGTAGTAACTGAAATGTCCCATTTGTTACAATATCGGAGAGCTGAAACAACATAAAACAAGATCAGGTCAATGTTTGGGTAATTTAAGGGTTAATTGCTCTCGCGGCTCCGAACTAACTCAAACAATCAGGTGAAAACATGTATGGTAGGAAAAAGAGAGCGCATAGTTGGCATATTCCATAGTTCAACATATTTAATTAAAAATTAAACATAGTAGTCTTGAGAGATACAAATTGCATTCATAAAAAGTAACTCATTGCCCATCGGTCTTTGCTATTTATTTTCAATTAGTGCATGCTTGATGAAATATTGCTCCAAAAGCAATTAAAATGCATGTTTAGAGTGTGAAATTTCGGAAAACAACGCTCAGTAAAGTATAAAGCAGTAACTGGTTGACATAACCAAATTAAAGATACGCCGGGAAACCCTTAAATTATGTACAGGTTTAAAATTCGCTTTAAATTATTTTTAAACATTAAAGTCTTGACTGTTTGTTTTTCGTTTAGAAATTTTAATTTGTTTTCAGTGCAACGCCATTCCGGTGGTGTATATTTATTAGTAAGAGAGAAAAGAAAATTAAACGGAAAGTTCTACTGCCCAAGAACATAATTTGCTTTTAAGTGACGTAAATAATGGAAATATCTAAGTGATTTTATTAAAGACCAAAGTTTTATCACTTTTTGTTTCATTTCACATTTTTTTCCTTTACCGAGAAATTACGGAGCGGAACTAATTTGCTGATACTTCTTGCTGAATGCTTCTTTTGAGGACGTTGCATATTATTTCCGCAAGTATAATCACATCGATGGCAAGCTTCGATTTACTTCTCAAATAAGTGTCATTACTCCAGCTATCATATGTACGTACGTTACTAAAATGTAAAAAAACATTGGAAACAAAATGCGTAAACGTACGTTAAATTCCAAAACTTTACATAGAAGACATTAATTTAGATACATTGTGGTACAAAAGTATGGAATAATGAAAATCTGTTGAAATCCGTAGACCCGATTTTTATGAGTTTGCTCATTTCAGCACCAAATTAGGCCCGATTTAACTGTTGATGTAGTAGCGTTGATGTTTAGTGACTTTTGACCCCAAATGTTTTGACCAAAATGAATTCTTCTAATAGAAGCTATTGAGAACTTCTAGCTGAATTCAAAAATCTCATAAAATCAATAGAGTTCAATTAACAAAGCATAATTTCTGTTAATTTCAGAAAAATGTAATTCTTGACGGGAGTAATTTGGTACCTAAGTGCACAAAATTCCATACAAATTGGGTGGGCGGATTGCGATTTTGATTATTTCGTACTTTTGTACCACAGTGTGGAATAATTATTTTATTTTGTGAACATCTACTCATTTATTTAATGTGAGTCGAGGGGACACAAAATTATGATATTTTGTTATTATAAAGAAGCTAAAAAAATATGGCAAATATTCAAATCGTTAATAAATCCACAGACCGTGGAAAAACAAATTTGAGACCAATAAATAGACAACTTTCAATTAGCAATATTGCCAACTGGAGAAATTATTATCCATTAATTAGGACGTCTTAATTGGTTTCTTGCAAATTTCAAACAGTTCGCTAAGGAAATTAGAAGGAAAGACAGCGTTTGAGCCTTAGTTTCTGAAACCAGAAGTAGTATTTTCCTAATTATTTCATTTCTAGTCCTGCAGTCGAAAAATTAACTCCTTATTTCGGAATAAAAGATAAAGGAATCGCGGGAAGTTAAAACAATAAGCCGCCCCGGGAAAAGAAGGCGATATCCAAATTGGATTTCGCCAAATTAGGTTGCCAATGTTCAAATAAAATCGGTAGTTAATTAATTGGATGTTTGATAGCGTTCTTTTAGTGAGATTTATAAATCGTTTTAGTTACGCCACAAAAAAATTGTTGGAAATGGAAATATCTGCTTAGTCCATTAAAGACGGAAGCGAAAAAGTTTGCGAAAGACCGGCTTAAAGTTCGAAAATTAACATTTCGAGCAAAAGGTAATTGGGATTTGTAAAAACCATTCAACGGCCGTAACTTTCACAAGTCATTTTTGAAGTGTTCCCAGCGCATTGCTCAGATAATTGGAAATGGTAGAATTCCTGGCAGTGATCTGATGTTATAAGATACCATATCATATATCTTAGAAAATTCAAGAATATCTGGTAACTAACAATCTACATAAACTACAAGGAATCTAATTAAAATGGCCTATTTGGAAGGGTTAAAAAAACACATTTTTCCATGCGCGATGAATAACATTTCCATAACTCTCGGTAGCCGAATCTAATCTACCGAAATATCTATGGAAAAATAACAATAATGCAAATTTATCATTCAATCAGCGCTATGCTAGTCATTAGTCCCAACTGTCTGTATTTAAAGCTGCAACATACCCCATTTTGTGTCCCAGTTCGTGCTCGAGTTTAATATTAGAATTTTAAGGCAATAAACGTAAAAATGTAGACAAAAATCTGCGTCGATTTACAAAATAGCATATGTTTCATTAGCTTGTGCATATTGGAGATACTAGTGTTAAAATAAAACACAACTGTTCAGAAAATTGTGTTTCTAAGGCAATAAAAATATTATAGAACTGAAGTTATTATACACTAGCCACTAAAATAACTGCCATTTTCCAACAGCAAAATTCAATGATCTTTAAGTTAACGTGAAATATTGTTAATAGAAATGTTCCCAAGTAGGTAGCAGAATATGGAACTTTCAATTAGGAAAGATAAATAAAGTAGATTGATTATCCAGTACAATCGATGTGAAATGGGTGTTGAATGAAGACCTCGGCTTCAGGAATTTTTTAAAGAAACTGGCTACCGCAGGACGGGAAAAAACACACGAAGGAAAATAATGAAACATTACTTAATGATTGGGACACACATTTCTTTAACCCTGATGAGTCCTTCACATCCACATGTTTGCCATTGTACAACGTCCGTTATAAATATACTTGTATGTGACGACGTTAATCTTTGAAAAATAAAAGCACTTACCTAACGTCCAAAACATGGCAAAAAATACAAAATCCCTGTTCCAAAGTGTGTAATTTGGAATAGCTTTAGGCTGGCGCTTTTCAACTTATCCCTGGAGGCTCCGACATTATGTCAAAGTTGAGTAAGGTACAGCTTGAATGGCCTAGAATCCTTCTGCATAGCAAACAAAAAGGTAATCAAATGCATATTGAGCAGCGTACTCCAACAATTAAGTTATAATTGAGCAACGCGAATTGACAAGTTTTCAAATATTCAAAAACGTTATTTAAATTGAAGTTTACAATGTGCTACTTGGTTAATGTGAGTTTATACTATTTCTAACTATTACCTATGAACTTTAATACGAATTACACCGTCAATTGTTGAGATAAAAGGAAATCAAATTTTATCTGAGTAGTCTGTGTCTAGTTCTTGCCATATTGGTTGCTTTAATTAGGCGATTTAAAAACCGTTTCCAGTAACGAATATGAATTTATTGAATGTTAAATATACGTGTCAAAATAGTAACACATATCCATTATTTTACTAATTAACTTCTAGTTAATGTAGGAACATGCAAATAATACATAGGTTTTAATCACGTCCAACTGGGTAGAATTCATGGCCAGAAAGGTGCAAATAATGTTCGTCAGACTTTAGGATGTTATCGATTCATCAGTTTTGCAATTCATTTTATTTAATTAAAACTGAACGGTTGTTAATACACCACGCTGAACCTAATTAGCCGGATTGGTAATGTTTTAAAGCTGAAACGCACACCTTTACTAATCGACCCTTTGTGTTTCGATTGCCACTAACGAAGGGAAATCACGCTTAATTTGAATACTGAAGTATAGATTTTTTGTCAGGCGTCTTGGTATTCTAAATTAAATTGGGCTACATAGCTGTTTTGGCCACACAATTTAGAGCAATTTCCATGAAGTATCTAACATGAAAAGCCAAAACCTTCAAGTAGAAAGTCTTGCAGACGTGTAAATGCTAATCAACAACTGTTTTTTCGGAATCAATTTAAATGTTCGTATCGCAGTATCGCGAGTTTTATGAAAGTTAGTAGGAAAGGAGGAGGTTAGGAGTACTCATAAAGTACTTGAATCATTTACTAAATTTATTTCCATAAAATGAAAATGCGTTCAATTTGTAAAAGACATACCAATAGTCTACACTATGTGAGTGAGTGCATAATATACTACATAGTTTTGGGACTAATATTTGCGAGATTACGAAAACTAATTTGTTCGAAACGAGTGCTCAGGGCTCGTACTGACATATTAGAAACTTTTTGATAAGAAAAAATATTTTTATAACATATAATAAAGTTATAATTGGTTCACCCGTTTGCCCAAAACTATTTAAATATGTTGAACAGCAACACTAAATCTCATTTGCAAAACTTCCTTATATTCTAGAACTCCCAAAACCTTTCGGATATTGAAATTTGAGATAGCGTGTAAGCTCATGTAGACTTTTGTTGAAATTCCTCCAGACTACTCTTTTAGCGGATAAAGTTCTGATTGACTGGCGTTTGAGAAACATCGAGTATGAGACGGTGCTGCTATTTATTATTTTGACTCTGTTCCCTAAATTAACCAAAATTTCGCTTTTGAAAAACTCAAACTTAATACTTGTACAATCAATAGAGCTGTGCATCCATCTCCATCACCGCATTTTCAATTTTCCCCAATCTTCTAGCTTAACGAAAATCCATTTATTTTGCTTTTCTACCAGGCTTTTCTAAAATACATTCCAGGGAATTTCATCTAAATTCTACGTCCTGACCTTTAGAAATTTTCTGTTTTACAGCCAAACTATAGTTTCCAATTAAAAATACATTTACTTAGATATGTATCTACCTCAGTAAATCCTTTTAGAACAGCATTTCGAACCAAATTTGTGCTACTGAAAAATTTAATTCCGTCAACGGGCTTATTTTAAAATTACGGAATCCACAATATTCTCATTTTGCTTTGGCACCTAAAACTAATGGCAAAAAATCCGAAAATGGGGCGTAAAAATAGAGTACCTCCATCCTAACGGGCATGCATAGTGCGTACCTATATGATTTCTTATTGCTGTCCTGGGTTTGAATTATTGATTCCCCAACGGCAATTGGTCAACTTTCTCGCATAAAAACTTGCGTCAATTTTTGCTGAATAACTGCAAGCACGTGTTTTGTATAGGTTATTAATCTTGGATAACGATCGCTGGAAAAAACCCTTTATGCTCAGGGGTGTTGTATTCTAAGGGAGTAAGCGTGTGCGCCAGTAAGGGGGAGATCCACGAGATTATCAGATATGGCACCGTAGCGAATTTCATACTGGAATGAAACGAACAATTTTCTTTCAGACCTTTGGCCTGGGATTTTTTTAAGTGTATTGGATTCCGGAGATGGAGACGTCAAGTGGAATTTCCTGCCTGAAGCTCTATTAGCGAGAGCCCGAATTATTTAGTGTTATTCCTAAAATCTCTTCCAAATCAATCGATCCAGTACTAAAATTTTATCCCTCAGAATGAACCTGATTGTTCTAATGGAAACTTTGTTGGCAATGTTGTCGAGCTGTTAGAAATGCAAGGAGAACGTAAATAACTTTGAATTTAGTGTCAAGGTTTTGCTATAACAGATAGAGACCAAAATGAATCAATTCTCTATAAAGGGCAATTCACATTTAGTTTCGCTTTGAATCTGCATCATATCAGTGCTTTATTTTGGTTGAAATACAATTTAATGGAAACATATGCATAGCAACTATTACCTCTTTAATTAATTTGAACGTGCTTGCATTTTGGAATTTCGGTTTGCAGAGTTGTTTACCATACAGGGCGGTTCATAATTCTGGAATGTATAGTATAATATATATATATAATAATAACATAGCATTACACTAGCCTAGTGTCTAACAAAAATCAATCGACATTAAATGCTAATTATGATAAGTTAATTTGAATTCTCTAAATAAGTTCTGAAATTGAAGCGCTTTTAATTGTCGTCTGGAGAGGTGGAAACGTGGTCCAATTTGAAAAACAGTGACTTAGGACAAACCAAATTAACAAAATAAACCGTACATCTACATTCATGGGAAATAACGCTATAATTCAAACGTGCCATAAAATGACAACTTTAAATTCAACTTTTTGAATAGTTACATTTAAGCCAAATACAGTACATTTAAAGACGTAAAATGGGACTGGATGACGTAAGAGGGAAAGGTGGAGATCGAATAAGACTCAAATAAGGTGAACTACTATACTACAAAAGAGAAGCAGAAACAGACAGTAACTGGAACGGAGTCGGAAGGCTAATTCATAAGAAATGGACAGAACACATAATATTCACAATAGGAATATCATCCAGAGTGATATAGGTAACAATACAAATAACGAAATGGCATAGACTTCAGATCACACAACTATCTGGCCCGACATCAACGCACACATAAGACGATATCGAAAAATCTTACCAAGATTTGGATAAAGCATTGGAACAAAACCTGACCTTTTATATTGTAAAAATAGGAGATTTTAATTCAAAGATAGGTTCACAAGAATCTAATGAAGTTCGCACTGGAAAATTGGGAATAGGAACTAGGAACAACCGAGACAAAATCATGGTAAACTACATGGAAGAACATCAAACTAAAATAATGAATACTTTCGTCTATACGAAACCGTACCGTAAATGGACATGGCAGAGCCCCCAAAAATACCAAGAAATCAAATTGTCTTCATAATTAGAAACAGGAAATACATAGTGAAGTACTGTACATACATGCGTAACTGTACTGAATAAGGTCCAGATTAGCGACGACCGTCGAATGGTGAGAGCAGACAAAAATAAATTAAAAATAGGAAGAAGAAAAAAGCTATAAAGCTCAGTGAACACGAAGAAACTTACAGAAACAACCTTGACACATCGATAGAAAATTATCTTATTATGCAAGGAACAGATAGTGTAATAGTAAACTGATAAGCACTGCAAAGTAAATCCTTAAAGTTGCATTAAAGACACTAACACAGAGCAAGATAACAGAAGAGACAAACGAACTTATACGGAGCAGAAATAACGAAAAATAAAAAATAATAAAATAGAAATAGAAAAAGAAATAAAAACTAGTTCACCTACACATCTATAAGTGATTCACAATTGTTTCTTGCTTGTTTGATTGATGATTGATGAAAACTCGTCTGATTCACTTTTCAAAGGTTTTTTTGATAATTTATATTACATGTCTATGACATATGACGAACACAATTTGTAACCTTGTACTTTGCTGAGCTAATATTGGAAATTTTGTGAAATTGTTACGGAAAATACCAGGTTTTCCAACATTTTGCCAACGTATATTTGCGCCATTGATAAAAGTATTCGATATATTGAATAATGCATCTGATGTCGTTCCTTCTTGGTGTGGTTTACGAATTGAAAGCTCTTCCATTCTTGACCATCCATCGCGAAATTCAACATATGCAATTAAGTGACAATTCTGTTCGGATTGAAGTAAACTACAGATACATTTAATGTATTTTTGATAATAGTTCTATAGTTTTTGAGAACAGCTTTATTTGGTAAAGACTTCTCCGCTGTTATATCTTTAAACTGATTCAATCACTACTTTGATGTTGATGAAGCTGTTCAATAGGAAATGGCGGTAAGAGGTATTCTTTCGCTATCTAACAAAAGTTTAACATTGCAGTGCTTATTTGCCACAAAAAGGCTATATAATCTTTTAAGAGAACTAGATTGGTTAAAATAGGCAATCTATCTGAAATAATAAAACACAAGATTAAGTCGGCTATAGATCTGAAAGCAAGAACAATCTACCAAATAATAAACATGCGAGCTGCCGAAACTTCATCATTGTTCCATGTATTTTCGGGTTAATTATTCAAGGATTAATTCGAATTACTGTTTCCCCACGCTCAAAAATAATGCGCTTTCGGGTTCTCAAATATGCGGTTTAGTGTGCATTTTTCAATATTTTCTTCCTACTGTAACTGACTTTACCAAATGGCAAATGTCTCATAAATAATAATTAGACACTTTTTATGCATTTGACGATGCATTGGCACATCGCATTGTAATTGTGAGAAACATTTTTTTTTTAAATTGTACTCATGTCGTTTTTGCGATTAATTAATTAAACATAATTTGAAATAATCATTTCACCAAAAAAAACATCTTCATTTAATATACCCTGCATTTCATTTTATTTTAAATCCGAAAGATTTGGGGGTGTTCTAGGAGTACAGAAAAAAAATAAGTATTAATAAAAACTGAGAAAATTGCAAAAAACTATGTCAGAAAGACGGCAACAATGTTCAGGGTAATCTGTCTAATTAACATTATGTAAATATTTGTCGCTTCGTAATTATTAAAAACTTCGGTAACCATGGAAAAATACAGAAAATAGCAATAAATTAGA